ATATATATTTATGATAAAAAATACGCCTGTATGAAATAATACAAATTGAACAAAATTTAGCCATTTTCTAAAATATTGTGATTTTTATTTTTTGGATTTTTTTTTATAAAAAGTTAAATTGGGGGTAAATGATATAGTCCAATTCTTTGTAATATGTGGAAAGTCAATTATTTACATCTACCATTTATATAACTATGTGTGTCCATCGTTTAATAGTAAATGATGTTTGCGGATATATAGTCTTTTTTGGAATAACATGTTTTCCAAACAAACTATTTTCTGAATGTATTGTCTCTTGAAACTAATTTCTGAAAAAACAATTATTTGCACCCGTCGCTTAGCGCGGATAAACGGCTAGTCTATTTATAGTGGTCCTTTAATATTTGAAGGAGACATGATAAGGTTGGATGCCCATGAATTTGGTGGTGAGGAGGGTGGAGCAACTGTTTATTACCACTTCATTTAAAAAGGTTATTATTATTATTACTAGGTGTGAGACTCATGTATTACATGAGTTAATTTTAAAAAAAAGTTAAAATAAAGGTCAAAATATTTGAGAATTTTGAATTTATAAGAAAATAAGAAAATAATGATTTGTTATAATGGAAATTTTTTTATCTTTCAAATTTAAATAAAGAAAATAAACTAATGAGCTTTAATTTATTACTATATTTATTGCAGTTACTACATTAAAATATTATGTAAAATTTAATAAGTATTATTGTCACTATAGCCCAACAATATTTCGTATATTGGTTTAAATGATCCTTGGTGACTTTTTTTTGTCTTTTAGGGGTACGTACTTGTCTTTTACCGTTTTAAAAGGTCATTATCAAAAATATGAACCCCTTCCTAATCATCAATTTTGATATGCCACTTGCATTCTGTCAACTAAAATAGTCAACAAACCCTAACAAGCGTTACATATTCGAACCCAACAGACTCGTTCTTCATTGTGGCGTCTTCTCTGATGCGCAGTGAGGGCAGCGCATAACGGCGCCGGTTTATGACGTCGTATCGCAGGATGAAGAAGTAGTTGACGCGTAATTCGCTCTCTTCGTTTTGGATGTTTCAGAGGTTGGAGCGGTAGGAGTGGTAGGTACCGGTGGTGTTGATGTTCAGTTGTTATTTGATGGTGCTCTGGTTCTCTTACTCCTTGATCTGCTGTGAAACGACGTGTTCTGTGGTCGAAAGTTTATAGTTTCGGCTATGAGATTAAGCTTCATACTGATGCACGTGAACAGAATCCCCAAAATAAAACTCAAGACAAAAGCACGAAGTTTAAGCTGGTTCTGCCATGGCGGAACCTTCCTGCTCTCGAATAACCTCGCAGCCGACTCCAACTCCGTCTCCTCCATGCTTCTCTTCTCTTCCTTTCCGTTCTATAAGTCATCTTCCAGTGAAATTTTTGAAGAAGTTTGTTCCATCTTCGTAACTGATTGCTGAGTTCTGATTTTGAAATTGATGACTCTAGAGATGAAATTGAATTCCTGAAGTGTGAAGTTTAGGTCTAATTAATAGTTTTGTGGCCTTGAATCTATTTTTTGTTACAGGGGGCATTTGAATCGGTGGGAAGGGGACGAGATTGTTAGTTATATTGCCAGCGATTTGCAGACAAGAGGAAAGAGGTTGGAGATGTGGGTCATTAACACGAAAGAAGCTAGAGAACCAGAGTCGACTCAAGGATTCTGAGATTGTGTTTTTGAAGGAGAAATTGCAGGAAGCTGAAACGGACAAAAGATTGATCGAGAGACGATTGAATTCGAGTGGCCCTTTATCGCGTCACGAAAACCTTCATTTCTCAAAATTGACTCTAACTGATTTCGTATTAGCTCTCAAGCACACCATGAAAGCGATTTGAAGTCTGGTGAAGTTCATGATTACTGAAATGGAATATTCGAATTGGGATCTGGATGCAGCGGATGAATTGTTCATGCCTTTGAATATTGTCCGGGAACAGTTTCTCAGCGAGATCTTTGGTCTCGAGTGATGGGTAGATGGATGGAGCTGAAGGATTTGATCATGAAAATAAGGAATATGAATCTGGGTTTGATTGTTCGACTTGTGGGTATAGATTTTTAGAGGAGTTTGACACAATGTTTGATTGTAGTTGTTGCAGGTTTTCAAGATTATGGGATATTGTGGACTCACATGCTTACTTGGCACTTGACAAAGCAGTGCTACCTTCTAATGTGGGTAAAAGTATCCCGGTGAAATACAAGTTGATACTTTTTAAAGACAAAAAAAGTTATGAGGGACCATTTAAACAATTATACTAAAGATTGTTGGGCTATAGTGACAATAACTCATTTAATAAAATAGAAAAACTCATAAAATGACATGTGAAAAAAAAATTAATTTAAAATAACCACAAAATGACATTTGACAAATTAAATGAGAGTGTGACAAGTGGCAAAAAAACATTCATTTATTAGAGAGGATTTATATTAGTTTGCATTCATATTGGTTTGTATATTGAATTCATATTGGTTTGTATATTTCTTATTACCATTCCTAGCATTGCAAATCTCCAGAAGCTCCAAAACAAAAACGCAAACAGTAAGATACAGAAAAATTCCAAATTGCCCTTGCTTCATAATTTTTAACCAGAACAGCCTATTTTATAAACCCTTTATTCCTTCTCTATTTTCCCTTTTTCTGAATAGAACAAAAAAAATCCTATACTAAAACACTCAATTAGAAAAAAAAAAACACACACACACAGATTAAAAGTGTAAACAAATGAATTTCTTAATGGAAATGACCTTCATGAAAGTTTAGGTATTATTTTCTTATATCTACCTTTTTGTGTTCACAAATCCTTCATGAAATTTTGGACTTTAATAATTAGAGTTGTATTATATTTGCAACTTTCTTACCTTCAACACCCATCAATTCTGAGTTAACTCTCTCTTTTACTCTTCTTTTTCTAACACATACAAATGGGCTTTCCAATTTGTTAGTAATGGTCATAACTCTTTGTTGATAGATCTCTTCTTGAATGAAAGAGCCACAATTGCTTTCAATTTTGAGCTATTTTCAAAGGTTACAAATGTAAGGTCTCATAAGTTATCCTATCTTGATGTTGAATTTTCGTTTCATCGAACCATTCTATTTATTAAGTCTTATGTTCATGATTTATCTTTATAGAAAGATTACTTTGTTTTATTTCTTATGAATTATGATGATGGAAATTAAAACTTAAGCAAAAAATTGGTTGTTAATTTTTGGGCAGAAGGAGGCTAATGATTTGGTGTCTACCAAAAAGATCGGCTGAAAAGAGGCGTAATCACTCATGTGCAACATTCTTCAACTTTGAATGAGCTACAAGGTACTTCCTTGAAATCAATGTTTCTAAATTGGATTCTTTGTTCATTATTACTACCACCGGTAATCTTTAGTAATGATTTACATTTCTTCTGTTGTAAATTTGGTGTAAAGATATACAAAGGCCTTGGAGATTATTAAAAAGCATCACAAGGATCAAGCTCAAGATATTCAGCTTTCTCAAAAGGCCTATTCCTTTAATCTTCATTTGGCTGCCATGTGGATTGGGAATGATTTGTGAAACTTCATTTCATAAGAACATTATGAGAATATGTATTCTGTTGTAACCGGAGAGTAGCACTTTCTGCTTCTTCCACCCACTGATATTCATACAATGTATAATTGTGACTACCCTGCTACTCAATACACATACTTTGAAGTACAATTTCACTCTTTTCTATATTTGCATTTATCTCTTTGGGCTCTTGGATGCCTATTACAAGTGTATGGGTACTTACTTTAGTCATTTTGATTGTTTTGTTCATATATTAACAGGAAAGTGGGGCTTTTGAATTGGAATTGGAGAATCCAATGAGATATGTCCCCTGCTGCAGTGTAAATCCTTACCTATTGCCCAAAGACAAGGAAAAAGAAATGTCTGAATTCCCATTTTACTATGATGGACCCAACCCATTTCAAGTCACTGTTAAGGCTCTGCCATATTTTTAACCAACAAATCTTAAAAGAAATATGGCTAGTATATATTAAAAGTGGCTGGGTTTAACTATAGTCATTTTTATATATTTTGGACATTGGCCACAGTATTTTAAGTTTTTTTTTTTTTTTTTTTTTTTTTTTTTGTCACTTTTGGTCATTTTCTTTGTGCTTTCCAGCTTTAGTCCCTGCATTGTTTTCAAACTGGCCACAATATTTTCTGAGAATTACACTTAGGTCCCTCCTTGGTCAATGGGTTGTAAACGGTACTGTTCATCGGGCACACGCGTTCTCTTCTCTTTTACCACCGCTACCTCCGCCTATGGTTTTCTTCTTCATAGCTCTCGCTGTCTCCAAATCCCTTTCAAACCTCCAATGTATGTCGATGCCTTCAGTTGAATCAACTCGGCTCCACCGTATATCGAATCTGTAAAAGAACCCTAATCGTTGCTCTTTGATCCAGACGTTCCAGGTAAAGGCCTTGAACTCTAATTTCGTTCATTCCCTTCATACTTAAAATCTTTGCTGAACTGGGTTGCTTCCTCCTACTTATTCTTTATTCCAACATCCTCTTCAAGTATGTCGATTGCTCTGGGTTCATCTGCAAACGCACATGATAGGGTTCACCCATTTGACCCCCGCATCCCAAGTTCCCCGCGCAACAATTTGTTAATGGAAGAAAAAACGAGCTTGTAGAAATGGGTAAGTTAAATTATCAGTTTCAGAGCGTAAGTATTAGTTCTTTTCCTCTGGGTAATGCTCGATTAGGTCAAATTTGATAGTAAAGAAAAAACCTTTGTATGATTTTACCTCCGTTTTGATGTAACATACAGAAAAAGTAGAAGGTTGTGAAGAAGATGTATGCGAAGAAGAAGAAGTAGCGGTAGAGGAAGTGAAGGACGATCAGTCGAAAATGGAAGGAATAACATCAATAGCGTTGTTACCAGATGGGTCAATCTCGGGTCATTTTGTTCATCTTCCCCATTCTGTTTGTTACGGCATCCATGGCACTGGTATTTCCGAACTCCATCGATGCATTATTTATTGCATTACCTCCCTTTTCTAAATGTCATTGAAGCTATTTCGTTTGTCTCCATCTCTAGACGATGTTTTTGGGCATTAAAGCATGTAGAAAGAACATTAACAGATACAATGTTTTTTGGTAATAAATTTGTTGCCATGAAAACAAAGATAGCATGTGAAAGGGAATGCAGCAGGGGTGAGAACTATCGTTTGGTCAAACTGACTATAATAGACTTCAATGTAAGTTTAATCTTTAGCTTGCTTAATGTTAAGATTTTGTAATTAGTATTTACATGTTGTTTCAGAGCAAAAAGGAAAGGGATGACAAAGAGGTCATGATGATGCACGCTTATCTAACACTGATCATGCTCATGGGTGGGTATTCATTTAATAAATTAACATTTTTCTTTTTGACATTATTTACATTGCAAATGATCAAATATTCAAATAGACTCATGAAAAAATTTCATTCCTTGACAGATGGAAGAAGGATGTGGTTAGTTTAGTTGCTAAGGAGCAAGAGAAGAGGCAGATTGCAATTTCTTTTCAGTGTGAAACACTTAAAGCAGATGAAGTAGCAGAAGGGCATATTAGGCAGTTCATGCCCAAATTAACTGGATTGGATGCTGTTGGTAAACATATCTTCAAACTCAGTGCAGTTAATATTGGGAAGATGAGTATCACAGGTTTGGACTTCAAAGCAAAAGTGGGATGTTTGGAGCCAAGTTCCTAAACTTATGATCCAAACAACATTTTTGATCCAAGTGGAAATCTACCCTTTGTTAAAATCTGTTTATATAAAATCAATCACTGTTAGAATTAATGAATCGTTTGATGATAAACATGGTTAGTGAATCTAACTACGACAACAATGGTCCCTAAACTATATGGAAGTACAAAATTATACGTTGACTTTTTTGACCTGCTGTTTTAGTTGTTCTGAATAATAATTAATAAGTCAGTCAGGGTTATTTTCATACTTTCTCACTTGAGTCGGTGATTCGCTAGTATTAGTATGTTGTTATTTCTTCCATTTAACCTTGAGATGTATGTAAATGTCATAATTGTATTATTTGAAAAAATTTACATGTAGTTTTAACCAATTTGATGTTTCAACTCAAATTCATAGAGCATCCTATTTTCATTTTGTCCACTTTGCAAGTGGTTCTATTGTTTGTAATGAAATGTAATTGCTATTGTTGGTAAAAGCCACAACTGAAAGGATTAAACCTAGGAGTACTTAGAACTTAGAAGTGTAATATGTAACATAAAACGCATCTGTATATCTACTATGTATGAGCAATATGCTTTAACTTTTACCCATAAAAGCAGTGTACTTACATGAATCAACCCTTACACTAGTTACATTAGAAACACAAAATATCCACTCCTCAATATTACATAACATTTTATTTCACTTTAGTCCAACTCTCAATCTTTTATCCGAAACTTATCTTATTTTCTTTTACTTTTGGGGTGATACATATAGAGTATAGACACCCTGCACAATTTTAAGGGACATGACTCGGTAAGTTTTCTAGGTTTACCTTCGATAATGATAAAGACGATGAGGGCATTAATGTCTTTTGCACAAACGAGATTGTTCCAAGGGTTTCAACCACGGTGCCTTTCACATAAAAAGAGTCCAACTCCTCCCCTAAAATTACTGTTGCCGTTGTTCTGTTTTCTTCAATGTTATAACATTTCATTATTTCCTGGTTTCCAAAAATTAGCTCCCCATTGGTGGTTTCCTCAATTGGTTCTGTGTCGTTTAAATTTATCTCCTCAAATGTAAATCTTTTCCATGAATTAGGATCATTGTAGTCTTCTAAAAGCCATAAATTGTTTTCCAGAGGCACACGAACGAAGAAGAGACCAAGCTTGTCACCAAGTGCAACCAACCTGAGCAACCTCAGGTCATAGGTGATCTCAAGTGCTTTTGGGAAAGCTATCTCACTGAAAGTTTCATCTTCAAGGTTGAATGAAATAAACCCAGGTTGGGTGGATGCGATCCAATGAATAAATTTCTCATTTACTAGAACTCCACACATCCCTTCAATCTTCATATCCAAATAGGGTTTTGGGATCAAACGTCGGGTGTTCTTGGTTAAATTGTAGACGGCGACCATCATATCGTTCCTGAAATCGGACTCCAAATCATTGAAATTGGTTCCCCGATGACCAATACACAACGCCTTAAGATCCCCGGAGCTGAGGTTGCACCCGAAACCGTAAGTCCCAATAAAACAAGAACGCTCCTTAGGCCAAAAAATTCTTTGGAAAAGACGAAGGGGATGCCTCCACGACTCTTCGGTCACAACGTTCGTCAGAATGAAGCAGCTTTGATCCTCATTCAATCCTAAAAGCAGACCATTGCAAGTTCCCACGATATATTGGGGCCACTGAAATGTCCATATACGCATTTCTTGCTCTTGGTGTCTCAATGAATCGCTCACCGTGTATGTCGTACAATCTTCGCCATCGGAAAACAGGACCCGTTTAGCGGAGGAGTTCTTGGCGTGTTTGCTGATAAAGCGTTTATGAGTAAGTATCGAACGCCATGTTTTGGATACAAGCCTCGAGTTTGCAATAGTTTTAGCGTCACAGCGTACAAAAATGTTTTCAAGAAGAAGGTCTGGTATAGTTGTCATTAGCGGTGGACCGGCGGCACGGCGGTGGAAGCGGCGGCTAGTTTGTCGGATTAGAATTGAAAAGTTTTTTTAATGGGCCCTCCTTCTAAGACTATTAAATTTCATAATAGTTGCTCATTAAAACAGGAATGTTAGTAAACTATTGGTTTTACGTATTCTTGAACCCTAGTTATTTCAATCGTTTTTAATCATTTTGGATATATTTTGTTTTGTTGGTCGATTCACGATTGATATGCCAAATGAATAAAATAGATAAGATAAGAGAATTAATAATTATTATTTTATGTTTGGTTACATAGATTTGTAGTAGTGGAATTGAATGAATAATTGATCTTTTGGTTTGGACAAAAATACCTTGTAACTAAAAATGTATATAATTTTTACATTTTACAACATTATAATGGGTTTTAAGCATGTGGGTTGCAGCAAGAGTTTAAACAATAATTTTGTGATGATAACATTTGTGTTGTGTTGTAATGCGTAGCAAAAACAAAAATAGCAAGATACTTTATGTTTATGTCACAGAAGCTATTAGAGTTGTAACTACAATCGATGGACACATTCTTCTTTCATTAAAATAGTCAAATGTTAGGTAATGTACTTTGTTTTTCTTTTACTATGATAGCAATGTACTCTAATAGAATCATGAGCATTGAGTCAAAGACCTTTTGTTGCCTGCAAACTTAGGCACTTAGGCTTCATTGGAAAACCATATTGGTTGGTGCCAACAAACGTAATTTAAGAAGAATAACAAACCCAATAGCTAAAATAACAAATCTTCACTTATTCATATTGTGACATCCTTATTTTTACGGTTAAAAAAGACCGATTTGTTTATGCTTATTAAATTAGTGTATTCTTGTAAAAAAATAGTTATACGGAATTTTTCCTAAAAATATTATCAAAGCATCTATATATATATATATATATATATATATATATATATATATATATATATATCACACTATATTATAAAGGATGCATTTTTTTCTTTCACCACATTCATTTGAAACTCCCATGACTTTTCAATTTCTTTCTAATAATAATTATAAGTTGGTTAATAAGGTTAAATAAATATTAAATTTAAAGTGTAATCATATATAAACTAAATTTCAATATTAAAATAATATATTTACTTCTACTTATAAAGTTATGTTTTTTTTAACTTTTAACATATTATACTTAATTTATTAGTTTTAATATATTGTTGGATGTAAACCATTAT